CCTTTGGATTACATAGATGGACACTTTTTGTGGTTTCTTTAATAAATGATTTGTCAAAAACCTTTGTTTCTTTGGGTTTTGTTTTAAATAAAGGACTTTGTATATCATGTTGTGTGTTTATTTACAATTTTACTGTTTGATGAATGAGTAGGGGTAACAATTACCTCTTACTCATTCATGAGGGGAGCACCCTATATGAAAGGGGGCACCCAGATACCTATAAGCCCCTCTGCCCGCAGCCCCCTACAACCACTGGGCCAGGGTTGTGGAGAAGAGGCCCTTGTCCTCAATGACATGGGGACAAGGTGCTTTTCCAGGGGGTCCCTGGAACCATAGCTTCTTATAACAGTTTAGGAATTTTCATATTAGGGATGCCAGTGTCCTTAAATTTTATGTAAAACACAGGGTTCTTTAGAAATGGAGGGGTTTTCAAAATTGAAGTATTAGCTATATATTTATATATCTATATATGTAGGGGTAATATTGATTATTTTTATTTAGTTAGTTTTTTTAGTTTTTTTTGTAGTTTACTGTCTTATGCATTCCCCCTTGTGATAATTAGTTATGTATCTTAATGTTTGTATTAGTAGTTGAATGACAGAAATTTACTGAATCTGAATTTGCCCTTATAGCAAAGGGTAACTGCAGAAGGCTCTGACAGCTCTGCTGCAGCCCCTGGTGAAGTCCAGAAGTAATGAAATGCATTGGGCAGGACCAGTGATGTCATTTCATGGGGATTTCAAACAGCAGACAGAGCTTGGGCTGTGATACAGTGCTAGGTGTAGCACTTTTATGTAAATGGATTAACTGATTTTAACATTTTAACAACATGATTTAACACTATCACTGGATCGTCTTCTGATCTTTCTTTACTATAGCGAAGTTATGTAGAATAGGATGGAGAAGATTTGTGGGAGTGCATCAGAGCTTCATAAGCTGGAGATGAGCACATCTAGGCCTCTGGTGAGTTTATCCAAGAAAGGGGGGAACATGAAGCAGGGGCGTCCCGAGGCTGGGTGACACCCAGAGCGGTAACCGAGTGTCACCCCGCCGAGACGTCACTGCGCATGGACGCCGGCTGAGAGCGGAAGTATCAGTCACCCGGCCGGGTCCCCTCCTCTGTACTGATACTGTCGGGCGTTTGGTCCATGACCGAGCGCCCGACTTTTCAGAGGGGGGTGACACTAAAATGACTGTGAGTCATTTTGGTGTCACCCCTCCAATGGTGTCACCCGGGGGCGGGCCGCACCCCCCCGCACCCTCCTTGTGACGCCACTGCCATGAAGGTGGAGGGGTCAACAGTGAAAGTGAAATGTTCTCACCATTGCATTTCCACCAAAATTCACTGTCTAATATGTGTTGCTGTGGGTTATCACAAACATTAGTGCTTTCACAGTGGAGTGAATGGCATCATTGAATTCACTAAAGACTGGATTGTGTCAGTGTTCAAGAACTTGTTTCTGTAATCATATTTCACTAGTGGGTGCTAGGGGTTACTTCAAAATGTTGTTGTTCACTTCAACTAAAAGACTTGTTGCAGAATTTACTGAAAAGCTTGCTTTTTTGTTTATGATTTTTATGCACATTGTATTAAAAATAAACTTTATTTATTTATGTATTTATAATAACATCTATTAGGTAGTCATAAGGCTGAGTCCATAGTTTTTTAAGTAGCTCATTGGTAAGTATTGTGCTGTTACTTTATAATTTTATATCTATTCATTGATATTAAGCACAGAAACATGTTGCAGATAAGAACCTTTGCTCCCTGTGTGGAAACAGTGGTTTCTCTGCAGAGGTCTGTTAAAACATCCTGTTAAGTCAGAGCAAGAGCTCTCTAATTAGCAGGGAGCTTTACCCACTGCAGAGTTATTGGTCTCATTCTACAGGGAATGTGTGCAGAGCTGCCTTCGCACAGACAGTAAGGGTCCTTCTAAGCAGCATGCTTACAGGGGACATGCTTTGCTACTCAGGCTGTGGCTGTTTTCTAAAGAAGACAAACTGCAAGATTTTAAACACATTTTTTGATGCACCTTGAATTTAGCTGATTTAAACTGGAAGTTCAATTGGGCTTTATTGGACCAATTTCAATTAGCATGTTGCTATAATTTACTACAAAAAGTGCAGTAGTCTAGAGCAACCAGCAATAATTCACCTTTCATTTATCTCACCGCAATATACTGAAATCTGGTTGCTACTGGTTAATGCACTTTGCACACAACAATTTTTCCAACCCTTTTTAGGTTCTAAACTATTGCCATTATGAGCAGAAATTAAAATTATTTCAAAACTATATTCCTAATTTACTAAATGAATTACTTTTTAAGGCTTTTCATTCGATTAATTTAATAGAAATATATATATATACTTTCTGCCTTTGGAATTTCATGTCTAATCTATAAATTCACAGTGTCCTTCACTGCTACTTTTTAAGTTATTTTAGCATTAGGACTAATTTATGGGAGGTCAAATTATGTTTTCATTCTAAGAAACCAAACATTTGGGCAATGGCATTCTTAACCATCAAGAATGAAAAAACTAAATTCTTATGGTCTAACCTCTCAATTAATTTGCTGTTTTAAGAAAAAAATATTCTCAGTGTAGACATTTTACCAGTTATTTATAGAAAGTTATATAATGAAGATCTGGGAAGAAAAAGTGAACATCTAGAAACATTAATTGTGCCTAAACAGTGTCTTGAAAGATTTCCGTTTTTTCTCTCCTATTCCTCCTGAAAAATAACAGCGCACCTCCTTTGCCTAGGCACTCCAGTGCTTGAGCCATGTAGCAGTATACGTGTAAGTGCTAATGCCCTGTGCTTCTGATTGCTAATTTCCAAAGATTTGGTGATGACACTACTGTGCTACTCACTGTTCTGCTGGAGAGGAAGCTATACCTGAGGACCTTCAGTGCAAGGATCACTTTGCTTCATTTATTTGGTAAGTCTGCACTTTCAGCACCTCTCTTCCTGCTTCATGAATATTCCTCTACCAGTCATCAAGAGGGAAGTTCTGACAAGTGAAAGCAAAACCATTCCTCTACCAAGATGGCTGCCCCCTGACACAGAGACACAGTGTAGGATAACGCATGGCATGTCAGTACTGAGGAAAAGATTAGCTGCAGGAAGCCAACAAGCAATAGTGATGATTAATCCTTTGCCATTTGCTCGCCTTTTTTTAAGGCCATCTTCATTATCAATAGTACAATATTTGTGAGGGAAAATCCAACATTTTGAGATATTACCAAAACAGGAAAAAATGATACATCTTCCAAGAGGGGATACTTGTTTCAGTGAGTAAGAGGGGATTTCCCTCACTTTGATGAGATTTGCCCTTACTCCCTATTGCGCCTTCAGGATAAGAAGTGAAGGGAAATTTCCCATTAAGAAATAGATAGCAAGGGTTTTTATCTATGCTCGATGTCCTACTTTTATTATTCATTAAGATTAATAAAATAAAGGATTACAAATTATAGCATGTTAGAGAATTGTCATGTGCTATTATATTGTGCTATTGATATACAGGTAAGTGCAATATGAAGGTGTCAATTTAACTAGTTTAGGGCCAATTATTTAAAACTGGGGAAAAAAATTAAAAGAAAATAGAGTTGCTGACACAACAATCAGATCTAACTTTTAATTGTATGGAAAAATTAAACATTAATTCCAATTAGTCATTAGGTACATCAACTGTTTTTTCTCATTTCCTTTTTTCCAGTTAAAATGAATCAAACTTTTTGTGTCAATTTAGAACATTTCCCAGGAACTAAAAATATTACTGGAATTGTAGAAGATTTTCCTTCCGACCTTTTTAACTTTAAAGTTCACTTAAATTAAAAACCCATAGATCCATCTTCCTCAACCTCTAACATATTAAAATCTAGATTAACCTTCTCTCTACATCAGTATAGGCAACCTGGGCACTCCAGCTTTTGTGGAACTACAAGTCACACAAGGAACTGCAGAACTTTGACAGCCACAGGCATGACTTCCACAGGCAGAGGCATGATGTGATTTGTAATTTCACCTCAGTTGGAGTGCTAAGGTCATCTACCCCTGCCCTAGATACTTATTTATAACATTATAACAGTGGCATATCTCCTTCAATGTTTGAGACCATATTCCCAGCAAATCAAATGTAGGGGTATGACCCATTCAAGTCCATGGCAAGTCACTGAACAGGTGCTAAGAGCACTGGAGGAGATGCCAAGCCCAGGAGAATAAACACTAGAGAAGGTCAACACTGTCTTGGAGAAGTAAGTGTGTGTGTGTTAGGGCTACTTCACACCATCCCCAGTGTGTTCCAGTGTGAGTGTGGCCAGAATGGACTGGATCACATTCTAGCCGGCTTACTTTGTTTTGGGGCGGGAGGAGGCATGGCAGTGCATTGAACTCAATGGCACCCCAGCCATGCCCTCTGGCCACAATGCGATCATCTGCATGGGAACACGTGGCACATGAGTGCCTGCGTTCTGGTCCGGTGCAGTCAGAAAAAGTAGTGCATGCATTAAATAATTAAAAAAGATATGGAACATAATTAGGCTGATTTACTAAAGAAGTTGAGAATCTTCACTGAAATCATATGAAAACAATCTGCACAGGTTTGAGTATTCAAAGTGATTAGGAATTTGCTTTACACATTATTACACATTACAAGAAAAATGGTTAAAAAAACAGAATCTTGAAAATAACTGGTTGATTAAAGTAAACATAGCTGTAACCTATTTACAGTACTAATTTGTTATCCACTAATATAATAAAGACAATTAAATAAATGGTTATTCTTTTAAACCTGTACTGTGGAGAGATAGCCCACATATCTGATTGCAGATGCTTCATGTGTACTCTAAAAGTGTCTGGATACTCCACTATAATGTTAATGTGTATCAAACTAAGGTGTATTAAGCTGGAGAGAAATGTTTTGCAATCTGGCAATATGTACAATATGTTGAAACGTATGCAGAAAGCCTTATAACATAAAATGTATTTGCATTCCATTCACCTGTATGACTTCCTGAGAGGGAACTGAGCAACCTTGATTGTGGATGAGCTCCATCAAAAAGTTCAACCAAGTCATTGAGCGCTGTCTGGAAGTATGCAAACTGCCCAAACACAACTAAAATATCAGAAAAAAACAATATTTGTAAAACATTGCAACATTTCTAGAGCCTAATAAGCAGCAAATAACACACATAGCATTGTAACATGTCTATTAATCCCAGTTAATAGATCCAGTTAATAGAATCCCATGATCAGCATTCAGATATCGACAACATTTGTAACCTATTTTAAAGCCCAGTATTAGTGTATTACAGTCAGGCTTCAAATACAGTGATACATATGGCTCTGTTTTACTTTTTATTAGCTGTACTTATCAGTAATACAGCAAGGTTTTACAACCTTGTGCTGCCAGCACATAGGAATATTGGACCACTGCTCTTACACACAAGCTCTCCTGATCTATTAACTCTCTCAATGAACACTGATCTAATCAACAATGCTCTCCATAACTGAGCAGCAGTATTGAAGTGTTCCACAGGTATGTCGGGGAGCTGAGCTGCTGCTCATGTGTGAGGCTCTCCTATGTATTGTCAGCAAAAGTTTTTTTAACCCCCGCTGCAGTACTCAACTGCTAAAAAAAGTTTTAAAAGATATTTATTACATTATATGCACCCCCAAATAATGACAATACATTAATAAGATTCAGGCGGGCTTTGAAGCTGGTTAACTATCAGCAACATTTCTGGTTACATGTGTAAAATCAGGCTGTTTAGTAGACATGTGCACTGCATAATAACTTGTTTCGGATGAAACGAATGGGAAGGGAAAAACCGTTTAATTTGTTTAGTTTGATGAAAGGTGGCAAGGAACCTCCAAATCCGAAAGGACAAACTAAAAAAATGGCGCCATCTTGGATGCGGGGTGTATTACATCACATGACGCCGGCGTCGGGTGACGTCATACACATGTATGGGCACCGCCATCTTGGTTGCAGCAAGATGGCGGTGCCCATACAAAATGAATTGCTATATGCCCGAATATAGTTTATAGCATTCTAATCCATTATCTTAGATCCTCATGTGGAATAAAAGTAATTTTACAATAGTTACCAACAGATACACATATACTCATCCATCTCAACCATGTAATCTTATAATTCAATTTTAGAAGTTATTAAAAACTATTCAAATGCAATACTTCTGTATTACTTTTCACCTTGCACCTTTTGATAAACAGTAATGTGCAAAAGTTTCAGGCAGGTGTGAAGAAATGCTGTAACGTAAGAATGCTTTCAAAAATATGTATTTTTATTGTTTATTTTTATCAATTTATAAACTGCAAAGTGAGTAAACAGAAGAAAAATCTAAATCAAATTAATATTTGGTGTGACTACCCTTTAGCTTCAAACCAGTATTACACTTGCACAAAGACAGGGGGTGTGTAGTATTAGAGTCTGGTGTATGATAACCAATTATACCAAGCAGGTGCCAATATTCATCAATTTTATACGTAGGTTGAAACAGTCATTACCTGAAACCGAATAAGCTGTGTAGGAGGCTTAAAACTGGGAGAGGAACAGCCAAACTCTGCTACAAAGGTGAGGGAGATCGAAAGATGTCCAGCAGTGCCATCAGCACCTAACTGGCAGAAACCAGTGGGATCCAGGTACAACCATCTATTGTCTGGTGAAGTATGGCCACAAGTGGTCTTCATGGAAGAATTACATTGAAACAAGGCAGTTTGTTTGCCGAAGGGCTTGAGAGTACAATAACGAGTGTCTGCAGGCAACAGTAGTGGAAGTCCCTTGCAAGTTTTGGGCTGCATTTCTGCAAATGGTGTTGGAGATTTGGTCAGGATCAATGTCCCTAATGCTAAGAAATACAAGCAGATATTTGTCCATCATGCCATGCCATCAGATAGGCATATGCTTGACCCCAAATTTATTCTGCAGCAGGACAATGAGCCCATACATACAGCCAATGTCATTAAGAGCTATCTCCAGTGTAAAGAAGAACAAGGAGTCCTGGAAGTGACGGTTTGGCCCCCACTGAGCCCTGCTCTTAACATCATTGAGTCTGTCTTGGATTACATGAAGAGAGAGAAGGATTTGAGGCAGCATACATCCACAGAAGATCTGTGGTTAATTCTCCAAGATGTTTGGAACAACCTACCTGCCGAGTTTCTTTAAAAACTGTGTGCATGTGTACCTAGAAGAATTGATGTTGTTTTGAAGGCAAAGGGTGGTCACAAGGGATGCACCAGTGCTGATACTAAGCGCCGATACCATTGCTTTCAATGTGTAAACAGAAGCGGCTGCTGTAAGGTCCCGTGCTTGCTGGAGACCTCACGGCAGCCTTGTGGGGACCTCACGGCACCTGTATAAAGTGCCAGCTGGCTGAACACCTTCTCCTCCTCCTTCCTGCCGCCCGCACAGCCATGGTGAGACCGACCCAGCACTGGGGAGACCCGCATGCAGCCCTGATGAGATTGCACACAGCCCTGGTGAGACCTCCATGCAGCATTGGGGATACCTGCACATCCCTAGTGAGTACCTCACACAGCCCTGGTGAGACACGCACACATCCCTTGGTGAGACTGCACACATCCCTTGGTGAGACTGCACACAGCCCTGGTGAGACCGCACAGCACTGATGAGACCATACAGCTCCAGTGAGACTGTGCACAGTGCTGGTGAGACTGAACAGCCCCCAAGAGACCATGCACAGCCCTGGTAAGACCCCACACAGCCATGGTGAGACCGCACACAGCCCTGGTGAAACCCTGCAAAGCTCTAGTAAAACCACACACAGCCCTTGTGAGACTGCACACAGCCCTGGTGAGACTGCACACAGCCCTGGTGAGACTGCGCACAGCCCTGGTGAGACCCCACACATTCTCCTGAGATCCTGCACATCCCTGGTGAGACGCCATACATCCTTCTGAGACCCCACACAGCCCTGGTGAGACCCTGCACAGACCTGGTTAGACAACACACAACCCTGGCAAGACTGTCCACAGCCCCGTTGAGACCACACACAGCCCTGAGATGCCGCACAGCTCTGGTAAGCAACACAGAGTCCTCTATAGCTGGTGGTATTCTGCATTGCTATATAATGTATTGCTGGGATTTGTAGTCCCTCTACAGCTTGGAGTCAGTTGGAGAACTACCATGGTTGCAGCAGTTACAGCTGCATCTGAACCATGGTGCTCCACCACTGTACTAAAATCATTAGTCTGAGTTGTTTTAGAAAAACTGTCACATGAAACAAAAAAAAGTAACGGTAGTTGGTATCGGTGAGTACCTGAGGAAAAGTATCGGTACTTGGTCTTGAAAAAATGATATCGGTGCATCCCTAGTGGTCAAACCTTCGGATTGCTCTTCTGTTCCTTTACTTTCCATTTTGTTAATTTATCAAAATAAACTATTAACACTTTTATTTCTGAAAGCATTCTTACTTCACAGCATTTTTTCACACCTGCCTAAAACTACTAAAAGACACCTATATATCATTTGTTTATTTTGTGATATCATATTAAACTGTAAATAGCAATAAATGCTCAACCTACCAAATTCCTTTGGAACTGTTATTGAATAAAGACAAGTCTGCCCAGTAGTGTAATTATTTGGATAGTTTGGGGACAAAACCACGCCCTCAGTTCCTGTATATTGCCCTCCACAGGGAGCTGAAAAAGTAAAGATGGTATTCACATTTTGTACTTGGTGTCAACCTTGTTTGGCATGTATCACAGGAGCTAGTTGCATTATATTTCAGAGCTATAAACAAACATGAATATGAATATATATAGTGCATTGTATAATTAGCAGGACCTTCCATACATATCACAGTGTATTGAGATGGTCTCCAATTTAATCTCCAATATCTTACAACAGTGTAAATCAGAAGCCAGCTCAGGCATGGAGATAATATGAACCCCCACAAGTAATAATACATTTAATATCCAGATGAGCAAGCTGCTCCCAATTATTCAATACAACTGTTACTTTTTCAACATAACAATTTAAATGAAAAAATACAGCATAAATCAAATATAACATTTAAGAGTACATTTTCATGTTATGAAGTTGTGTTGTGTTGAAGTTGTGATTAATCTTTATGAACATTTGAGTGTGACCAGTTTGTAAAATCAACTACGGTCCTATGATCTAAAACATGGACAGGCAGAACGTTAGAGCCACAATTCTCAGTAAATACATCTCTGACAATTTAGCCTCAAAGATATAATAAATATAATATCAAGCTCAAGAGGGTGCAGAAAATATCTAGGGACATCCAAAACAGGGCAATGCATTTTGCAGAATTAATCATATGCTCTAGTTAAAGCACATGGGATGATTAAACAGTACTGGTGTCAGCTTAGTGAAAAAAGTGAAGTTCACTGCAATCATTCAATCGTCCAATCCATTTTTTTAAATTACCCTGCAAATAATTGGATGATTGTGCACACATATTTTCTACTCCTTTAGTTAATCAGTAGTGGTATCAAAGCCAAGAGCTGGGACTGAACATGTAGTATTGTTTCTAGTTTTCCAAGACTTCAGCATGTTCTATTATCAGGGCAGGTCAGAACTTCTTTCTCTATATTTTAACAGATGCATCTCTAAAATTAATCAGAATCTTGGCTTCAGGGAGGAACTAAACTTGTTAATGTGTTTGCAAGCACTGTTGCAAGTGTGGTCTTGTTACTCTATTATTCTACTGTTGACAGAATCTTGTTTTCAGTTTATTGTTATTCAGTCATTGTAGGTTACAATAGCAAACACAATTCTACCTTGGTTTAAATGTTTATTATTCAGAAATATATAAAAGCTGATATAAAGGATGAGCCAGACTAAGGCGTTTGGGAAAGAAGTAAAGATTAACATGGGCTTGCCAAATCTACCAGAAAGGATCTAAGAAACAAAGAAGACACATCTATTTTTGTAAGATGATATTGTTATATATCAGGAGAAAGTAGCCCCTGCAGTGGTTTTAACAATGGCCAGGCAGTAAGTAAAGGCATTGATAACTAGGGCCTTTGAAGCTATCAACCAGTCTGACCCAAACTGGGCCTCAAAAAGATGTCAGACAATTTCAAAACATAGACAACGTATTTTATTGTATTTTAGTACCTCAGATTCTGGAATAAAAGATTTTAACAAAACACTGTGCATTTTTTATTTAAAAGATCAATGTTATCCTGTATAGTATTTAGGATTCCCCCATGTGCTCACATAACCTAATACATGAACGGATCTCATATACCAATGTCAGTCTTAAAGAGAATTCCATGAGAAGGCTAACCACAAACATTTTAACAAATTACTGTGGCTAGGCTTCCAAACAGATTTAATTATATATTAGTGGAGTTCATTAATAGAGAAACTTTCTAGACATGTATATCATTAACAAAGTTTTTCGGCCCTTCAACACCTTTTATGTACAAAATATCCTTTACATCTTTTAGAATTATTCATAAGCACTTTTGAAAGTCTCCACAAGGTGACATTATGTAAGCAAGCTGCAGTTATTGCATTGATTGCATTTAAACTGCAAGTTTAACTTTCATAGAAACTGCACTAACCCACCTTCCCTAATGTTCCTGTTCTAATACATGCTAACCCCCTTTTCTCCCACCTCAGATGCTTATCACTGACCATGCCTGCACAGTGAGCTCACATGAGCTTGTATAGGAGCTTATTCAAACATTGCCATCCTCAGAATACAGGTCTATGCAAGCTTATAAGCTTACTGCACAGGTATGCCTAAGCAGTGAAGGGCATTTTGTCCTGGAGAGTTACAAGCACAGAGCATGCTGTGGCTGTTCTACTAAGGTGGGTAAGCTGTTGGTGTAGGGGTACTAATAAACAAACAGAAAAAGAACACAGCGCTCTCTTAGGAATGTGGGGTCTGTGTAGGTGCAAATGATCTGGATTGCTGCTCTAAGAACAGGGGGAGAAACCTGTGAACTAGGAAAAAAGAAGGGGGAAGGGGTACTAATGTAGATTAGTATTAAAGGTGAGAAAGGAGTTGTATAGTTTTTTGCAAAGGAAGTGCTGGCTTTCAAAAAAATGGATATAGATAATTGAGAACATTGTGTTAGATTAACCGCTTGAAGACCAGATGTTTACACCCCCTTCCTGGCCAGGCCATTTTTCAGTATTCAGCGCTGCAGTACTTTGACTGAAATGTATTCTGCCATGCAAAGCTACACTGAAATTAATTTTATACCATTTTTGGGGGACAGATAGAGCTTTCTTTTGGTGGCATTTAATCACCACTGTGGTCTTTATTTTTTACTATATTAAGGAAAAATTACTGAAAATTGTGGGGACAAAACTTTTTTTTTTTATGTTATTTATTATCCAATTTTTTTGGTAAAACATAAAAGACGGGGTCACATTGGGTAAATACAGTCCATGTACCCATTGCACTCCTGACCGCATATCCATCAAAATAACATGGGTGCTCGGTAGCCGACGAAGAATATGGACACCAGTACATGCAAAAAGGTTGCATAGCAAACTTAGTGCGATGTTTCGGGGTCACATAGGATCCCCTTCATCATGCATAACAAGTGACCCACTTTTTTGGTAAAACATAAAAGACGGGGTCACATTGGGTAAATAGACACCATACATGTCAAGCCTTAAAGGGTTATTAAACCCTCACTTGTTTGCATATATCTACTGCTAGCAAGCAGTAGATATATACAAAAACTTTTTTTTTTTAAACCTTTTGAAATAGGTTTAAATTTACCTGTGTCTTTGCCGCGCGCTCCCGTCCGAACATCTGAAGAGTCTCAGGCGGCCGCAAAGGATCTTGGGGCGGGCGCATGCACAGTTCAGATGTTTGGCTGGGAGACAAGGAGAGACACAAGGTAAGTCTATGGAGCAGTGTGCAACCGCACAGATACCGTGGGACATCAAAGAAGAGGGAGGACAGAGGAGTCAGCGCTGGATCGGAGACCCGCACTAGCGCTAGAGGGACATCTGAAAAGGACAGTAAAGAAGAAGATGATCGAATAAAGAGGCATAATTTAAGGTAAGTCCTTACACTAACATTGGGTGGGGGGAAAATAAAGCCTTTAATGTCACTTTAAAATTACGAAATCGCAAAAAAAACTAGCATACACAAAATTGACCATAGGCGATGCTTTAAAAGCTTTTACCGCTCATCAGTTTAGTGTTATCAGTGATTAATTGCCCTAGAATTGTTGCACTCACTGCGATGTTTGCGGCGATATGTAACAAGTGCGGCGTAATGGGCACAATCATCATTTTCGCACTTATGCACACCCGACGCATGTTTGCACATGGTTATGTATGGGTGGGGACTTTAAAAAATGTTTGTGTTTTTTGTAATTCTTTTTCACGTGCGACTTTTTGCAACTTTAATTTGTTCCCCCTAACCTTATTCTTATCACATGGGGGCTAAGAACACCCCACCCGCTATGTGATAGCAAAGAGATGTGGCAGGTCCATTTTATGGAGACATCAGGGGTCTCCACGACCCCTAATGTCACTTAGGACCCCCAAAAGAAGCTGATGAAGCAGAGATCAGCTTCATAAGCTTCCCTCCATCTTCTGAAGCTAGAGAGTGACACAAGAATGTGGAAGTGATGTAATATACATCACTTCCGCATTCTGACAACGGAGAGGGGACCGGAGGGAGATCGTGTACCGATCTTCCTCTGATCCCCTGTCACAGAACCACCATGCTAGTCCCGGGCTTACAAAGTGCACAGCAGAGCTCGGGACCAGCGGGAGGGGGGCCGCAGAGGGGGGGCGCAACAATCAGCGATCCACTGACTCTATAGCCGGTGGATCGCTTGTATGTAAACAGGCATAGCTGCCTGTTTTAAAATCCTGGCAGTTTCCCACTTGCGAGCCGCGCGCGTGTGGGCGGGGCTGACAGGCCATCTTTTGATGGCCTGTTACATCCAGGATGCTCCCGGCCAGCCATTTTGTATCAACAGCCTGCTGGGAGGCAGTTAAAATAAAAATCGTCTTGGTTTTTATTTTTCAAAAAACTACACATTCAAAGCATGAAATTGGGCTCCATGGCTGAGGTTTAACTCAAGGTTTATAAGTTTTCTCCTTTCAGATTTTTCAGCTAATTTAAATAATATCTGCAACAATTGCAAGTGATGTTGAACAGTACTTAATATAGTTTGAATGCCATTTTTAATGTTCACTAGTGCAACAGACAGCTGCTATTCCTATTTCCTAAGTCCATATGCCCCAAACATCTGTTGAGTGTATGTTATACATAGCATTACATGATAATTTTCTCCTATAAAGGACTCCTCTAAAAGAAAAAAATATCACAACTTTCCTATAACCGTGCAGTCCACCAACAAAAATTATAAAGTATGATAACAATTTGAGAGAGGAATTTATCATCCGATTTTGCTGATGAACTTTGCCCCCCATTAGCCAAAAGAGTTACATACAGTTGATTATAAGCTAGGACTACAGCTCACTGATAGATATATCATTTCGATGCATGTGAGTATCAAATAGTAGTATTTGTGTTGAGAATACTGACTGCTCTAACCTTCATTCCACACAGGAAAATTAAAATGCAGCTGCTGGTACACCATTAATCAGTGCATAATAAGAGCTACTCATGTGCACAGTAATCCACAAACCATTCTAAACAGACAATGAAGTAAGGAAAGGAGACTCACCAAAGTCAGCAAAAGGGACTATGTAATTCTTAATAGTGACAGCAGCTATATATATTAGATCAATAAATATTTAATGTGTAGCTTGTTTAGATTAAAAACTGTGGTGCCATTCAAGTATGTTAGCATTACTAAATAAAGTGTCATTTACACTCCAGAGGTTTTTATGACTCATATACCAATTATTTAGAAAAAGGAAAAGAGATGCCATTAGTGAGCTTTGATGATAAACTGTGTAACAGATACTAATAGTTATTGGCTACTGGCATTTCAAAATGGTGCCTACGGTTATTTATAAAGCTTTGAAAATAACACTTGAATAATAGGGAGTAATGTATGTTATATTTCTACCGACAGTGTAAGAGATGATTAAAGAAATTTCACTGCTGATGGTGTTATCAGTTAAAGCCCCCAAAATATTCCAGGAATAAATGCATAGCTGAAAGACTAAGGGGTCTATTCACAAAGCTGCCGAGGGCAGCCGAGTGAATGACCGATCAGAAGTGAAGTGAGCCGAACACCGTTCGGCTATTCACTTCAATAAATAAAAATGAGCAAATGTAGATGAACTGATTGCTTAATATTATAGACTTCAGTATTCTATTTTATGCTTCACTACCTAACACATACTAAGCTCATAACCCCTTATTAAAATACAACTTTTTAAAATCTACCATTCATAACCTGAAAGACCTATTTGTAAGACAAATAAATGTTTTCACTTTTCACATTTTAAAAAGGTCTTTGCCTTTCCTAAGCACCTAGTATTTAAATATATCTACTCATAAATGGCTTTTTACATTTGAGGGGCATGGCCCATAACTGCATCCTTCTCAGTGTTTAATTAACATCTAGGTCACTGGCAGGCACATGGCTGTTACATGCTGAGCTAATCTTTTCAGACACACTACCAGCGTGGGCAAATTTGTGATGTATTTCTATAGAGAACCAAAACATAAACCAGGTGGCCTGCAACATCATCACTATGGTATCAACTGTAATCTGTGGATTTCACAGCAGAGCACTGGATATCATGTATGTGCCTAAAACAAAAAAAGTTTTGACAGATATCTTAAAAAGCTTTCACTGAAAATGTATTTCGTCATTGATAACTGGCCACTATTCTGCTTTGTAGGCTTTAATTTCAGTGTTAGTGAGTCAGAACAAATGTGGGGCTCAAGATGTCTTACTTCACTCACTGCATGATTGTTCCATGACAGCAACTGTAACATTACTGAGACCAGAATCATGAAAGAAATACACAGGTTCAAAAGAAGATTAGCAATGGTAGCCTCCACATTTCTCTCAGTAAAGTTTTCCTATAACCCAAAGCAAGTTAGATTTTATTTTTATTCTTTACATTCATATAGCAAATATGTTCACTTAACTTCACTTTGGTTAAATAGCTTACACCAGAATAATCAGTGCTAGTGTGACTAGTCACTATTACACAGGACATATTGCTTTTAATGTTTAGAGACCTTATTAGTACAACCTTGTTTTTCTCTTTTTCCCTTAGTATAGTGCTAATATTATAATAAATGTCTGGAACCCATAGCAAGCCACTAAACCATAGAATGAGAATATTTTCAGCAACTTTGCATAGCTAGATTCCATTTCTGCACTAAAGATTGTTTTTAATATGCTGTTGCAGGTTCCCAGATGAATCATGAGAATGGGGCTTTGATTTTTTTTCCTAATACTTTAGACCCATAGCTGTCTTATGGATATATATATATATATCTCCATATGAAAAATATACTGAAAAGAATCCTCGACCACCTTAGAAAAGTAAGCTTCCACAAATAAATGTACTGTCCACATAAAAAAAACTATACTGTAACAAGAAATATTGTTTTCTGTATTTAATTTTTTCATGATATTTTGCCAATTTCGTTTTTTTAGATTACAAATACAGTTAATAGACTTCTAACCACTAGAGGGGAGCAGCCACATATAAATACAGTATGTATTAGTGCTTAATTCCTTTTCTACATAGGTTGAACTATAAAATGTCCTGAAAATATTGCTATTCCTTGTATTATTATAAATTTACTTTATTTTTGAAAACATACCGCTACATGATGGCAAACTCTTGTTCCATGCAGGCTTTCCATCTGCACCAATTACACAGCTTATTGTGGCAGGATCAACAATTTTGTAGCCTAGGTCACACTGGTAAGTTACTGTTGATCCAAGTTTAAAGTCAACTCCAATCCGACTGCCATTCATAATGTTCCCTGGATCAAAACAAGCTTCTCTTGGTTTCTCTGTTAAAAAAAGATGCAAATTATAACATTTAGGCAGAGCTTAAAGCTGAACTCTATTCATTTGTATAAAAGTTTTTTTTTAATTCTAGTTTTTGTACATGAATTTGACTTGGTATCATCCCCTCATCTCCCCTGTATAGCAACACTAATTAGTCTGCTGCTGCTCTTTTACTGTCTGGGTAACAGGGTAGGGGCAGAGCATGACCTAACTGTATGGCTTAACTAACATAGAAACAATGTCACTAACCTGGCTCAGCCCTCCATAAATCTCATGACTCAGTAGTCAACAGAAATACAAATCCTTTGGGAAGTAACATGGTTCCTGTAATTATACTTTAGATGCATATTTAGCTGTTTGCCTGGAGTTCATCTTTAAATCAAAAATAATTTAACAGATATTTTAAAAGACTCAGTTGTATAATATCCACTGTACACTCAGTAGTGTATATCATATATTATGTTAAGAATGCCTAAATAATTTTTTAATGGAATATTTTACTGTAAACTGAATAGGTATATATATACTGAAGATCAAAAATTATTTATTAAAGAGGAACATTACCAATATCTTCAAAATAACAACAAAAACACTTTTAGAGGTATTTAGTAATGATAATCTACAAACAGATACTTCTATATAATTGCAAGATTTTAATTTTTTGCATACCTTATTTTCTATTCTTCCACAGCCTTCTGGCAGTGGCTATTTTAACTAGGGGCAGGTTATTCGATCTCCCTTTACTTCCTGGAACTCTGGTACATGTGACTAGGACATGTGACTATGCACATCATCTCAGGGGAGGAAAAGGCCTTTCCCTGAGATCTCATGAGATTACAGATGAGATTTCCCAGCAATGCCCTGCTGAAGTAACCTTCCCAGAATGCAATACGTGGGCACAATTATATAATTTGTGCCAAATTGGACCAGAAAGTAGAAAAAAAAAGTAAGTAAAATAAAAATATGTTTGCTTAGCTAATGAATGTAAGATGATTTCATATCAGCATGCAGAGCTGTATGCCAATGTTATTTTTAGTCAAAGGGGGTAAAGGTCTACTTTAACAAGAATAGTTAATGGCTACGTCAAATTATATTGTGTCTGTAATTCACACACAGTTTTGAAAAATAATTTGTTGTTGCTTTAGGTCACAATCTAGGCGGCAGTGGTCTTTATTAAAGCAAGAGCAGTTAGAAATACAATCTAACAAGTATTTATATACAACATGTTTAAAGTAAAACTCAAAGGCATAGTAAATCACAAATCTAGACGATTCAAACTGAGCATGTGATGGGGAAAAAAATCCAAGCCTCCTTACGGGTCATAAGAAGGCCATTAATCACATGAAAAGACCTACAACATTTGAAATCAGTATTTAACGTCACCTTCTTATCTTTTGATGTACTGGTAATTTTGATAAACAGTATTCTTTGAAGGCAACTTCTGTTTACACTTTTTTTTATCATTCACTCAGTTTCGATTACCAAGATTCATGACATCTTAGCATTTAATCTGGATTTCTATTTTGTTTATAGATCTTTTAAATATATATTTTTACAGCATAATGTAATGTTAGCAATTATAACTTATAAAAAGAGCTGGCTTAGAAATATACCAATATTTTGTTACCAACACTTAAAAGACATGCACAATGTATCAAGGACAATGTCCTCATTCAATAATCAAAGTACTTTTCAGGAGCAGATGAGCTTCTAATTCTGTAACTCAATCCAAGTTAACACTATCCTCCTTATTACATTTGCTTGACTTTCTCTCATCTGCACTTGTAAGCTACTTTTCTTTCAGTACTGAGGATTTCCATTTTCTTTTTTCTCCTTCCAATTCATGTGCTAGGTAATTTGTTCTCAAATATAACACTCGTGATTCCAGCTGCCTCTCTTTAATTATGTTTCCCATTCTCGTTCTTTCTCCATGTCCTCTTCAGCCTTCTCTCGCACAGCTTTGCTGTAAGCATCGAAGAAGTGTTTTTTCTTTCTTGACCTATTTGCTTTACTCTTTGACCCTCAGCAGGCTACTCTTGTCGCCATCCTCTGTAATTTTACAATGGCACAGCATGACCTCTTCTCAGCATCTGAACCTCTAAAGCATGTAAAGCATCATCTTTACTCTTTTATCTGGAACAATACTTACACTTTTTGACCTTTACACTATTTTGCTACTACTCGGTATGCAGTAATGTATTAAAACATTTTAAATGCTTAGCTATTCCCAATCCATTTTTAGCATTTTAGATAATTAACAGTGAATTTAAACTACCGCAGGGCTTAAGCAATACTCTGAATGGTCAACCCACTCTGTATACTACTTGAGTGTGACTTGAAGAACAAAAATCACAATAGTTTTCTGACTTGTTAAAGGGAGCATGTGATAAACTAAGAACTGAGAAACACCTGATGAAAGCTCACATATTTTGCTTTGTGAGACGTTTAACTTGTCAAGTAATGTGTCAGGCAAGCAGCTGAAATGAGTACATAGAAAATGTTTTGTTTGGCCTGTCTTGTGATTCAGATACCCCTGCCAGGTGGCATAGCAAGGTCAGTGACCTAATTTTTTTCAGTCTGCTGGTTAGCACTGCAACATGGTTACTTACCCACTCAGAGCATGCTGATTGAACAATACAAAGCTTCAGCCCACTGGAGAATTATTATTAGGTCTGATTGGCTTACAGTGATGGATCTCCTTCTGAGCGCTACTGTGTAAGGGAATATGTGTGGCTGATATTAAGGTGTATAGAAATCCAAATCTTTTTTAGCTTTCAAAATAAAAAATGGTAAACATTTTTGTCAATTTAATTTTTTTGTTGCCTCTGTCACATTAAGGATATTTCCTTTTACTTTATTTCCCCAAAACAAATCAGGGAGCAAGAGGAGGGCTCTCCAAAGCACCGGGATATCTCGGCTTAGAAAGTTGTCACCAGAACAGGTGAAAGATTTTCCTTCACCCCCAGTTATGGTGACAACTCAAAAATGGGGATTTCCCATCACTCTTCTGTACCAAAGACATTGGTCACCATGACAAATAGAAAGGGTGAATCACTTTATTGGGGGTGTTGAAAAAAAAGCTTTACTGGTGTTCTAACCCACCATCACTCCATCCAAAACGTCAAGAAAAAGGTTTGGCAGGGATTCTACAGACCACACTCATCTGTGGGGAGAACCTGGGGAGGGATACTTTGTATTTACATTAAGATATGTCACGTTTGCCACCCGAGGAGTGAACATGCTTGACTGAGTATGTACAAATAGATAGGGGGCATATGGAGTTATTACCATATTTTCATTGTGTTGTTCCTTTCTACCACTGTATGCTGAAAGTTATAAAAAAAAAGCAATAAAGATAGACAACAATAATCACAGTTTGGCCTAGTGACACTACCTCAGTGCCACAGGACTGCTTTGGATACATTAACTGGCAGATCTTTAGAGGCAGTGACAAGGGTCAGAGTTGTGGACGTGGAGGAATATGTATCTTGTGGTATTGGCTATATCAGCAAGTGGAGGATGTTACTAACAACCATGGTTAAATGAAGAGTTTCATTCCCTGCTAAAAGCCTGTGAAGATGGGTTTAGGTCTGGTAACGCATTTAAATTCAAGGCACAATTAGGAAACTAATTGTGAGTTTAAGAAGGGCCAAGGCTAATTATGCTCTCAAAATTCAGGGTGACTCTTCCACCAATAACCCATGGAGCATGTGGAGGTCCTTTACGATTATCATGAATTACAACAGCAGAGATGCAGAATGCCTGGGGGATATTTTTCTCTCTGATGCTCTGATCACTTTTTTATGCTCATTTTCATAATTCCATCACCACCCTTGGCTCCAGGCTCACCCCCCTCCATTGGGTGAGCTGCCCCTCAGGGTAATCATAGCAGAGGTCCCTCCAGAAATGTAACCCCCAAAAGGCTGCAGGCGCTAAAAAAATTAGGCTGGGTTTTTAGGGACTGTGCACACCAGGTTTCAGAGGTATTGATGGGCGTTTCTCAGAGTCTCCACAAGTCGTAAGACTACTGCAATTGTTCCTGCACCAAAGAGATCAATATTGTTATGTCTAAATGACTATCACCCAGTAGCAGTAATCCTAATAATTATAACGTGCTTTGAAAGGCTGATCATGACACATATAAAAAAATAGACCACCAACTTCAGAGTGGATCCAATCAGTATGCATACAGATGGCAGCAATCCCCTACAGATGATATTTTCAATGGTGGTTCATTTGAGTCAATGGGGGGTGAATTTTGAAAATCATTCACTCAATTTTCTAGGCTGATAGGCAAAGGATTGTCAAACAAAGTGCATGGGGAATTGGGCATTGTCCTCGAGGGCATGTACCAAAGCAAAACATTTTTTTCATGTTTTTTTTGGCTGGAAGCAATAATTTTATTAGTAAGTGACAATATTAAAAATGTACAATTCTATTAAATTACATTCCTAGGGGATGGATGTTCCCTGATGTGCTCCTACTTACCATCCTGACACCATTTGCTGTGGTTCAGCTTCCTCCTGAAATCTATTGCTGTGGGGGGTGGGGGGGGGGGGGTCCTTCATGGTTTCTTGCAC